TTTTTTTTTTTTCTTTCTTTATCTTTTATTCTACAAATCGTTTTTATTTATTATTATTATTAATAATTTACTCTATTTTATTTCTTGTTATAAAAACCAATGAAAATGACAATTTTCTTTTAACGATTAAATAAGTAGAGACCAACTAAAAAAAAGAAAAAAAATATTCTAAACTTCGAAGATATCTACAGTCGAGTGATTAGAAAATTTATTGTGTTTTATGTTTCTTATTTCTTTTTTTTTTTCTTTTTTTTTTTTTTCTTTATTTGTTGAAACGTAAATGAAATTGAAGGAAGTTCGAAGAGAGATGATGGAACACGTCGTGCGTCTTTGATTAATTGCGTCCGAATATTTGCGGTGATAAACCAGCGGAGACGACGCTCGAGGATTCGACGTTAATTATTTTGAGATATGATGAAATGAACGTGCATTCGTTTAGATTTTAACATAGAATTTGAAATAACGATTAAAATTAAATAAACATAGCGATATCATATGATAGCTGTATATATAGTACTAGCCTGTACTGGCCTGTAGCACATGGATGCGTGAGAGCAAAGCGATTGGTGGATTGCGAGATCGTATCGATACTTCAATTGATAATTAACACGTGTATAAAACACGCGTTACGCGTTAATAATAATAATATATATGTATATAAATTCTATATATATATATTATTATGAAAAAGAATTCTAGAAAAGAAAGTAAAGAAGAAAAAAATTTCAATAATAATAATATACTATAAAAAGAGTGTAGAAAAAAAAAAAAAGAAAAAGGCAAAAAAGATATATTCAGATATATATATATATATACACACACATAAAATGAATCAATATTATTATTATTATTTTCAAAGTAAGAACAAAAAGTGCAAGGACGAAACACTATCGAGTTTGACTATCATGTTCTTTTTTTTTTTTATTTCTTGCCTGTATTTTAGCATTGTTTAATTAATTAATTAATTAATAAAAATTAATGTTTAATCGGTGAGGTGTGCGTGCGTGGGGGGCAGGCGAGGAGAAAGAGTACTTTTTATTCATCGGGAAAGATACAGAAAGTTTTTTTTTTCTTTTTCCAAAACCAAAAATAAAGAAAAAAACGAATTTAATTCACACAATTATAGGACAATTATTAGAATAAACGATTTTTGAAAAACACCTGATTGCTATTATTGAAATGAGATATTTAACGTTTCGCATATTTGCTCGAGAAAAACGGGCTTTTTTTTTCATTCTTTCTTACATTGATACTGTATATATGTGTATATGCATACATATATATATGTATATTATATATCAAATAAATAATCAACGTCCATGTGTTGTGGGTCAGAGCACCCTGAAAACTTTCAATTCGAACCATACGTGTTACCTCGCATGGTTCTTCTTAATGATAATTATGATAAACTTTTCGCGGATGGCTCTTATAATATATACCACAAGTATATTTTTTTTAATCATCATCATCGTCATCATAATAATTATTATTATTTATTATTATTATTACTACTATATTATTATTACTATTATTATTATCATTATTTTTTATTAATATTATTATTA